GAGTACAGGGGCACTATCACCTCCCTGGTCCTGCTGGCCGCACTGTTTCTGATACAAGCCAGGATGCCGTTGGCCCTCTTGGCCCCCTGGGCACACTGCTGGCTCATGTTCAGGTGGCTGTCGACCACCACCCCCAGGCCCTTTCCCACCAGGCAGCTCCCAGCCGCTCCTCCCCACGCCTGCAGCGTTGCAACGAGAGGACTCCTGTCCCTTCCAGTCTTTTGTAACTCTCAAACCAGTCAAGCTCTTCTCACGTCTAACCTAACCTGCCTTGCTGCAGCTTAAATCTGTGACTTTTCATCTGAGGAGCTGTGGCCACAGACCAAAGAACTCCCTCCTCTCAGGCTCGCTAGGTATTGGGAGGATGTTGAGTTGCTGACTGGCCACCACCAGCAGATGAGAGCTGGCGGACCATCGAGAACTGGGAGAGGAGACCGTGGCGGCAATCCTCTACAGCAGGGAAGCTCTCACGCCTGCTCCCCTGCAGAGCGATGGCCAAGACCTCTCCCAGCTGGCAGATGCTCCTGCTCCAGCATACGCCCCGCTCCCCACAGCCTCCCTTCCCTGCTCAGGGTGCTCCCGACCTGAGATCTCATCCTCGTTGTCCTCTGCGAAGTGCTGGCTGCTCCGCTGCTCCCACGCAGGCGGCGTGTATTTCTTTCGCGTCACGTACTGGCGGCCGATTGTTTTCTTGGCATTTTTCACCAGGTTTTTGGAGAGTGTCCTGGAACCAGAGAAGAGGTTGAGGCCAGCTGACACCACCTCCCGCACGTGCGTGACCACAGCCCAGCGCGGCCAGAAAAGCAGCCCCCGAAGGGTTAGAGACACCAACACTCAGTCACACCGAGAGCAAAGCAGAGACAGGAGCATCCCTCACCACCGGCTACAGGCACAGGGTCAAAGTCACTGTCACCACAGGAGGAGAGACGTCACCTGCGAGCTCCCCAGCGGGGAGGAGCCGATTCCTCAGCTGCGAGAGGGCACCGAGCCAGAGCCCGCAGCGTTTGCCTTCCCCTGGGGGGAGGCGGGTGCCCGGGGAGGCTGGACGGGGCAGCCAGGCCGAGCAGGCGCCCCAGCCTCCAGACCCAAGGGGACGCCAGACTTGTCCCGGGCTCTAACACCATCACCTCCGCGTCGGAGCTCCCACAGGCAGAGATCTGGCTCGTCCCCAGAGGAGCTGGGCTCCAGCTCATGGCAGGGGCCAGGGGATCCACCGCAGGGACGCTGCCAGCCCAGCGGGGACTCAGGGCTGCTCCTCCCTGGGCAGAGGGGAGGCAGCTTGCGGAGGTGACCTGCTCGGTGCCACATAAGGGACAGGGAGAGCACAGCTGGGCTTGGCCACTCCTGGGGAAAGCAGGGAAGGCAGACCTTCCAAAACCCACGGGTGACTGGGCTGCATGGTCAGAACAGGCTCCACACAACAGAGCTCCAGAAGGCAGGAATTCCTGAAGGCAGGAATGGCCTGCCCACATGCCTCACGCTCATCACCGCCTCGGTGAGCCCCTGGGCTCAAAGCGGAACAAATAAAGGAGATGTGGGCTATGCATCAGCCAGGGAAGGGGCCATGTCCAACCCAGGGTAACAGCTACGCTGATGCCAAGGTTTCTAGAAATTCACCTTATCAAGACAGGGGCCAGAGTGAGCCTAGGAGGAGCCTCGGTTTGCTCTGCAAAGCAGACGGTGAGGGAATCCAACTGCTCCCTACATTTACCGAGGGAGGGAAAGCCTTAGGACGGAGGAAGAAGGCTGTCCTGAGAACAAACGCTCAGGTACGGAGGGTAGGAATGGGAGGGCTCTCTAACCGGAGGAACAAGATTTGCAGATAGTGTGGGGCACTGGAAGCAGACTTGGAGGGGGGTGACAAAGCACATCTCGCAAGTTCAGACAGACTTCTGAGGCTGTGCCCAGGCCCAGAGCTGGGCTCGGCAGCTCTAGAGGTCTCTGGAGGTTAGTGGTACAGGCACAGCTCCCTCAGCACGTCCTGGGATCCACCGGAGTGCCACGGAGCACTGGGATGACGGCCTCCGGAGGCCACGATGCTGCGATGGTGAGAGCGTGCACCCCAAACCTGGCCGGCAGCCTGGAAAAGGGCATTCCCCGAGTGACAAGCCCATAGCCCCGGTCGCATGCAGAGCAGGTGAGAAGAAACCCTGGGAGCAGTGAAGGCTGCAGCCTGAGCCAATGCCACCTCGCAAGCTCCTGCCCAGGGTGAAGGCATCTTACGTGGTTGAATGGCCAAGGTGCCCAAGGGACATGACCCCCACTGTCAGGCCCTGGAACATATCGGTCACCTGCTGGGAGCTGAGTCACAAACACACGGGAGAGACGCTTAGACTCCAGGGCACACCAAGCGCGAACACAGCAGCAACCAGACCCCAGCACTACAGAGTTGCTTAACCTAGCCACCGAGCGCAGGAGCAGGGTCTGGCCGCAGGTCAGCACCACGCACAGAGCTTTGCCGCTGCCCCGCAGCGCTCCCTGTCCTCCGGCGCAGCAGAGGCTGCTCTCTCGTGCCCACTGGAACCTCTCCCGCGAGACGCCTCCTCGGGGCTTGCGCGGTTTTGGCCTGGGCAACGGGGCAGGGAATGCCACTGAAGCAAATGCCCTGCTTCCCAAGTTTGACCGGTGCTCTGCGCGGGGTTAGGAGGCTGCTGCCGGACACGCAGCACGGCCCCTCCCAGAGACAAGCGGAGATCCTGTGCAAGGAGAGGTCCGAGCAAGGTCGGCTCAGGGACCCTGACCTCCAGCTCAGGAGTCTGTGCCCCAGCTTTTCCTGAGTGACCCCTGCTCATGGCTCTCTGCTGGGTGGGCTGGAGGAGGGAGAGGAGAAGCCCTGCAGTGCCTGCAAGGATCAAGCGCATCCCACGTGCTGTTCTCCCCACGGCACGGGTACCTGAGCGAGGGGTTCTTCTCCTTGGCCTTGGGCTGCATGGCTTGCTTGGGTGACTGGCCCACGGTGAAGGCGAAGGTGCCGCGCACGTGCTGAGGGTAGCGCAGCTTGTGCAGGTGCTTCCTGAAGACCTCAGCACTGTCTGAAGCCACCTCCTCATCGAAGGCAATCTTCAGCAACTGCAGGAAGAGCAGAGAGCAGGCTGAAGGGTCGGTCACGGCGTGCTCAGCACGGCTGGGCCAGGGGACTGGGAAGGGCTCCTCCCACCGCACAGGGCAGAGCTCGGATCCCAGTCGGGAGCAGGGACTGCAACGGGCACAGGCCAGGCTGTCCTGTCTGTCCCGCCGTGCCAGTTACTCTGTCCCATGCTCCTTCCTCCTGGAGACCGCTCCGTACCCGGCACTGCTGCTCCTGCGATGTCCCCAGCACCCGCTCACCGCGGCTCCGAGCATGCAAGACGGGCAGGAAGGAGCAGACGGCGTTTTAGGTGCTCTCCTCCCAGCATTGCTCTACCTCCACAAGTCTCTCAAAGATGTAAAATGCTGAATAACTGCTCGCATCGTGACATCTCTCCCTGCTGTATTTCTCTCCCCAGAACCTGCTACAAGGTTTTGCAGAACCAGCTCCCAGGGTGCCGTGTGGGGACACCCTTTATCAGGGAGCGTAGTGATAGGACGAGGGCAGATTTAGACTAAACGCAAGGAAAAAATTTTTCACGATGAGGGTGGTGAAACACTGGAAGGGGTTGCCCAGAGAGGTGGGAGATGCCCCATCCCTGGAAACATTCAAGGCCAGGCTGGACGGGGCTCTGAGCACCCTGATCTAGGTGAAGACGTCCCTGCCCATGGCAGGGGCGTTGGACCACATGACCTTTAAAGGTCCCTTCCATCCCGAAGCCTCCTGTGATTCTATGAGGTGTAATGGTTTTAAACTGACAAAGGGTAGACTCGGTTAGATATTAGGAAGAAATTCTTTACTGTGAGGCACTGGCACAGGCTGCGCAGAGAAGCTGGGGAAGCCCCATCCCTGGCAGTGTTCAAGGCCAGGCTGGACGGGGCTTTGAGCAACCTGGGCTGGTGGAAGGTGGCCCTGCCCGTGGCAGGGGTTTGAACTGGACGATCTTTAAGGTCCCTTCCAACCCAAACCCCTCTGTGACTCTACAGACCACAGCCTACTCCTTCCTGTGCAAGGGGGCCTCCGTCTCCGTCCCCTCGGGTGCACTGTCATCTGCTACAGGGGTTGTCTTTGGTCCCTTCAGGAAAACTACCCCCAAACCACGTCAGCCCGGGCAGCGAGTGCCTCATCTCAAGGGACGGTGCCAGCCACGGCCACGTACCTGCTGGGTCTCACCAGCAACGTGCTCCCCAGCTGAGACAGCACGAGACAAAGGAGCAGCCCGCGGTCTCACCTGGAATGTGCACGAGCGCAGCTGCAAGCCCTCCTGGATGAACTGATCCGCCTGGGCCTGGATATTGATCTTCTTCTCTTTGGTCAGTGAGGCGATGGGGAAGGATCGGATCACCACCTGCTCCCCCACTGGGCACAAGCATGGGAACAGGTTAGCCACAGCCCAGCACAAGGCCAGGCCACGCTGGGCCGCTCCCGGTGGCCATCACCACAGACACCCCCATAGGATAAGGCGGCCAGAAACAGGTCAGACATCCTACAGCCAGCCCACGGCGACTTGTAGATGATGGCTAGGATGGGCATGAGTAATTTATCATCTACCAAAGGTGGAGAGCAAGAGCAACCACCCCTTTTGTAGTACCGGAGGCAATCACCAAGCTTGTGGTGGTTGCAGCAATCCCCAGCAAGTCCCAGTGCTGGCTGGTCACTCGCCCAAGGCAACCACCGGAGGCCCTTATCATCAGCCCCTGCAGCAAGATGAGCTGCAGCCACTGCTCTGGGAGAGCTACCAGCCACCCCCTCCCCAGGCATTACAAACCCCTGAAGACAGAGGCTGTGGTGCACACAAACCCTTACCCAGAGGGTCCGTGGGAGTGCCTTTGAAGATGATGCGGTAAGTGGTGAGGAAGATGGCTCCTTCCGCGGGGAGGAGAGGTGGACCACCAATATTCCCTCCAGCAGCTTCCTCCCGTCCATCAGGCATGAGGTACACACGGAGCCCCTCCATCACGCACTCCTCACCCACCAACAGGTTGGGGCGCAGCAGCTTTGGCTACGGGGATGTACAATAGGAAGCTCAGGCCCATGCAGACTGCGGAAGGGGACCTGATAGCCCCACACAGCACCAGAACCTTCCCCCCCGCTGCAGCGGGCCAGGCCCCTACCTTCTGGATGGGAGGAAGCCTCTTGCTCTCCCTGTGCACAGCATCCAGTGTCTCTATGTGCATCTGCACAATATCTGTGGACAAACATGAAGTTAGAGACTGCAAGCAAGTCCTGCCCCACACACCACCCATCGCGCTGCCAACCCGCCCTGTAGCGCTCTGTGCGCCTTCGCTTGGCCTTCCCACTGCTTCTCGCAGAACTTCCTCTTGAGCAGACCCCCGAGCTCATCTGGAAGGATCCCCAGGGAGATCACACGGCCACCCCTTCCCCAGCACCGCCGCACCGCATCTTACCAGGGATCATGACATGCAGCCCCTTGAGGTGCTCGTTGGTCACCCCGCTCTCCGTGCAGACTTTGTCCACAAAGCGGTTGATGAATCGCACCACGTAGTTGGCCACGTCAGAACTCTCTGCATCCTCAAATCCACTTTCTGTGTCATAGCTCTCAGCCACGCTGCCAGCGATGCTGCCGTACAGTAGGGAAGAGTTAACCCAGAACATCTCTCTGCTCTGCTGTAACCCACGCCAGGCAGAACCCAAGGGAGTTTCTACTCCTGATATGAACCCAGGAGAGCTTCCACTCTTGATATCAAATGCCCTTGGGCACTGCAACCTGCATCAATCCTGACGGCAGCTGAACGACCCAGATGCCCCAGGTACGGCACCAAGGAGCTCCTGTCCCCTTCTCAGGCTGCTCTGGCGTCCCTGCAGCATGGCCATGCCAAGCTTTCCAGCCCCGCTTACCTGTTGGTGACGAAGCTGTTGCTGACACTCTCCACGTCCCCCAGCCCAGAGCTGCGTAGCAGGCGGTTCTTGCTGGTGTCGAGAGGCAGCAGCAGGTAGCTCATGCGGTTGGCGTAGTGGATGGCCTGGCTGAAAACAGTGCTCTCCTCCTTCTGGATCAGCTCCTGCTGTTTCTCTCGGCTCATGGTGGGCCAGAGCCTCAGCTGCTCCGATGCTATCTCCAGGGCAGACTTGGCTTCCTGCGGCCCCTCCGTGCTCTCCTGATGGAGTTGGAAGGAGACGTCAGTCGTCTGCATGGGCAGGAGACCTGCCAGCCCTCACCCCACTGTTCCCACAGGATCTCCCAGAACCTCAGGCTCATTCAGCAACCTTACCAGCCTGTGGACCAGGGCACCGTTGTCACCTCCTCACCTCATCCGTGTGGTTCTCCTCGTTGTTGTCCAGGTACAAGGCTCGGATGTGGTTCTGCACATCGCAGTAGAACATGGCCTCCCAGAACTGGATGTTGGTCCACACCACGTGCTCCTGCACGCAGCTGTAGGCAAACTGCGTGATGCCCGGGCTCAGTTTCTGAGGAAGAGAGGTGGAAGAGAATTTCATACCAACATTGCCTTTGTGCCAAGCTCTCCTCTCCTTGCTCTAGCCTGTTGCTGGGAAAGGCAACGCACCCTTGGGCTGGTGGGAGGGACACCTGCGTCAGAGCTGCTCCAAGCATTCCTGGCAAACTCTTCTGCTTTGCCCAGCACCCACCCAGAGCCCCGCAGGGCCTCATGCTACAGATGCTTTACGGGAGGCAGAATTTTATGTCAGCCCAGCTTGACCGACAGATCAAGCTGGCACTTCAGAGCAGCCTCAGTTTCTGAGCACCTTTCCCGCAGGTGTTCCAGCCACCTTGGGAGCCTTGGGCCCAGAGACCGGCGCAGCCAGCCTGACCACCTTGCGAGTGGTTGGAAGCTACTGAACAGGACCCTCTACCCCGAGAAGCACCAAGGGGACAACCTGCCCTCACTGGCTCCCGGTCCTTCCGCCTGCTGGCCTCTGCGGCCCCCGAGGAGCTCTGAGTCCGCGAGGGCTGTACAGGGGGTCCGGCCACTGCAGATACTCACTCGGCAGAAAGCGGTGACCAGTGGCAAGAGAGCGGCTGCAATCCCGTGCTCGTCCATGGCAGTGCAGTCCTGGGGAAGAGAGTGGAGGTTACAAGAGGATTCACTGCAGACTCCCAGACCTACTCCAATCCTGGCACCATGCTGTCTCCCACAAGGGGAGACAAGCTCCTTCCCGAGAGACACGCTCTCCCAGCCCTCTCCTACCTGCAAACAGCAGTTCATCATGCGGATTATGAAATCAAACTGCTGGTGATCCAGCACTGCCCGGTTCTGCTGCACGTGCAGGTTCAGCTCCTGGGTCAGGCAGTGCCTGGCTGCTCGGCCCTTCATGGCGCGCAGCACAGCAGGGAATAACTGCAGAGGAAAGAAGAAGTCATGGAGTAGAAAGACGGGGCCCAGCGGAGCTCTGGTCAGATGGTGAGTTCAAGGGCAGCCCGCAACAAGGAGGTGCAGGAGGGGCTTCACGTTCTGACTGTCTTGGCTGACACCAGGGTGTTTACAGACAGCTCATCCGCACTCGCACGTGGAGGCAAGGCAAAATCCCAGGTCTGGCCAGCTGGAGCACAGCCCCGGGGGGGTCCCCAGCCTGGTTATCTCCACGGGACAGACCCCGGGGGGCACTGGGAGATGCAGAAATAGTGCTAAGCTGACGCAGTGGAGCGATCAGCCAAAAGCCCAGGGACACACAACAAGGAGGAACAGCGCTGAGAGAACACGTGAACATATGGGAACAGAGCTGGTCAGCAACGATCTGGACGTGGGCAGGGAACGTCCTCTCCAGCCTGCCATGGAGGAGAGGCAGAGCAACCTCCCCTCTCCTCCCCTCAACCACCGGCTCCTCAAGAGCCTCTCTCACCTTTTTGGCTTCTAACATCTTGTTCTCAAAGACGTAGGTGATGCAGTTCCTGACCACCTCCAGGCGACGGGCGCTGTTGGCCAGGGCATTGCCGTTGCGCTCCATGATGGCAGCTGGGGAGAGAATCACCCGTTAGTTCAGTCAGGGCAGGGCTTTCGCCCCTGGGTGGGGAGAGATGGGTGCCCCCTCCCCTGCTCCGCGTGGGCAGGGCTCTAGGCTCCAAGAGCTCACGATGGAAGAACACTACGGGGTCTTCAGCCATCCCCTCATGCTGGCTGAGAGACTCCAGGGGGCTCTAAGCAGCCCGAGGGGCAGAAGCTAACGGGGACAGCGCTGCTGCTTCCCCAAGACAGCAGCCCTACCCATGTTTTGCTCACGTGGGACCTTCAGATGTGCCGTAGTGTGAAAGGCAGCCAGCTGCACCACAGTAAAGCTCCTCCTAAGCAGGGTTTCTCATGGCAGGGAAAGGCCCTCCGCGCACACATACCAATGGGGGGTCCTGATGGCACCATGCATTTCTTCTCTGCCTTCACAGCAGGAGGAGCCGTCTGCAGCTTCGCAGTGGCCTGGTCGATGATCCACTGCACCGTCCCCTCATCCAAACGGGGAAAAGGCTTCTGGTGGAGGCGCAGGTGACAGCCTTCCGTGGGCTTCTGCACCTTGTGCATGGTCACCGCGGGGTACGGGTTCTCCTGGCACAGCAAAGACAGCTTCTTTTCAGGCATGCGGCCATCATGTGTCCTTTCCCAGGGCAGGAGGCCCCGCGAGGCATCGTTTAGCAACCGCTGCTGCTCTGAGGCCAAACGCTCTACAGCCCCCAGAAACCTGCAGCCCTGAGGGCAGGCGGTCGGGGCAGCAGTGCCAGCACGCTCTGCTCCCAGGAGCCACGGGGACAGCTCACTTTGGCCCTGAACACAGCAGCGAGGAAAGCACCATTCAGGAGCTCCGTCCGGAGACGGCCGAGAGCCCGCAGGCGCTGCTCTGCTTTCAGACGACCTTTGCTGGCCTGGCCTGGATCAGACAACAAGCGCAGCGGCTGCTCCGGAGCAAAGGCATGGAGTGCCTGGTGCCCAGGCCACCTGAAAGCGAGGAATCCCACTGCTGGGAGCAGCTCACGCCAGGCCAGACACTTCTGGGCCCACCAGCAGGTGCCCTGCCGCATGGGACAGCGCAGGGTGGGACAGGATCGCGCACTGCAAGCATCAGCTCCAGCAAGAGCTTACGGAGGGAGGACAGACCGACCGGGGCTCCGACCCAGGCCCTCCCTGCCCTGTACCCACCTCCGGCCAGGTTCCCCCTCCTGCGCTCGGGCCTCCAGGACTCACGTTTTTGTAAAGTTTCTCCGCCAGCTCCTTGATGTGCCGCAGTATTTTCTGCTTGTTCCCCTCTTCTGCGCGCATGCGCTTCACTTCATAAGCCACAAGCTGGGAGAAGAAGGGACGGGTGAGAGGAGCGGCTGCCTGCTAGGCAGGACCCGGCCACCCTTCCCATACCCCGGCTCCGTCCCCCAGTGCAACGCTGCAGCCGGAGCGTCACGGCACCCCCGGCTGAGTCCCACAAGGGGCAGGGAGAGCTGAGTGGAACAAGGACGCACAGGATGGTGGGGCAGGGTGTGCTGTTCCCAAACTGCCGCTTACCTCATCAAACAGGTCGATCGAGCGGTACGGGGCCCCCCGCTCGGTCACGAAGCCAGCGAACGCCATACCCTCCAGTACCTTGGTGAGGAAGTCATCCTCCATCAGTCCCCTCTGCCCAAGGAAGGCTGCCTGGAAGAGGGGAGAGTGCGCACCGTCAGCAGCGCCGTCCAGGCATCAGTCATCCCGGCTGACGTGGCAGCATGGGTGACACCATTACCGCAGCGAAGGACAGGTGCCCATGCAGCAGTGGGACCACGCCATCTCCTTCCCTGTCCCATGCAGGCGCAGGGACAGGGTTTGCACAGAAACCTCTGGCCCGTGGCAGCAAGAGGCGCAGGACACGCTCGGTGGCAAGCGAAGAGCACCGGCATCAGCCCCGGCGTGCACCCCGGGGGAGGTGGGGACGCAGGGGCCACAGCTGCGTGGCACTGTCTGTGGCACTGTGTGGTACACAGCTGTCCATCTGGCAGCTGTGACAAGGACCTCATCCTGAACAAGGCTTGTTCACCCCACCTCTTCCCCAGCCGTGGCTTTGAAGGAGCCTCTCACCAGCGCCACAAAGGCAGCCCGAAGCACCAGGTTTCCTGCATCTGCAGAAAGCCCTTAGGACTCTGCCCTCGGCAGATGAGTGTGGGAGCTCGTCCCACCCGTGAACCGCCGGCTGCGGCACACCACGTGCCTCCAGGAGCAGCCGCTGGGGAACAGCTTTTGCTCCTCCAAACACCCTCGCCCGCTCGCTGCACACTGACTCACTGGGTGGGACGGGACGAGGGTGCTACGGCAGGGACCGCTCACCCACAGCCCCGACGACGCTACGGACCTCCGGACCACTGTGCCACCCACGCTCGCCCTCCTCACCGCTCTGCGGAGCTGCCGGACCAGCCCCTTCCCAGGGGAAGGAGCCAAGAGGCGCAGGGCTCGGTGCTGGAGCCACGGGCACTGCACCCGAACACGGATTGCTGAGTCCCGTGGCCCTAAACCCGCTGTGAGAGAGGCGCAGATGCTGCTGTGACCAAAGCAGCTGAGTAAGTGAAATTCGGGCTATTTTGTACTGAACGCTGGTGCTGCACAGAATGATTTTATGAAATGGAAGTTCCTTATACTTTATTCATTTTATAGCAGTTTTATGAAAGGGCATTTTCCCATGCTTACTGCACGTTCATGATTTTATGGAACTACTGAATCTTTGTCAGGCACCTGTCAGGAATCTTTACCGAGCATAAAAATATAGCTCAAAACCCTTATGAACACGCTGCTGACTTTAAATGACAGAGACCAGAGCACACAGAATCAGAATCGTTAAGGTTGGAAAGGACCCCTGAGATCGAGTCCAACCGTTAACCAAACCGCCAGGTCCACCTCCAAACCCTGTCCCTAACCACCACATCCACGCGTTTTTTGAGCACTTCCAGGGACTGTGATTGCCCCCCTGCCCTGGGCAGCCTGGGCCAGGGCCTGACCACTCTCTCCGGGAAGGAATTTTTCCTAATACCCAACCTAACCCTGCCCTGGCGCAGCTTGAGGCCGTTCCCTCTCGTCCCATCGCTTGTTCCTGGGGAGAAGAGACCGACCCCCCCGGCTCCAGCCTCCTTTCAGGCAGTTGCAGAGAGCGATGAGGGCTCCCCTCAGCCTCCTCTTCTCCA